TAATTTTCAAGTTTGCATTTTCTGGTAGAGAAGAGTAGTGTGTATAAATATGTTAATGATGTAATTATGTTTATATAGTGGCATTTAATAGTAGCACCATTTATAAAGAGGAAAATGCACCCTGTGTAAAATTGGCTATTTTGGATTCTATTTCTATTCTTATGTTTCCCTCTGCTGTAAAAATGTACCTCCTCATCTCTTTCCATTTTACTCACTTGGACAGTTCCCCAAGTTAATTTTTTCTTGCTGTTTTCTCTTCCTATAACGTATTAGGTCTCTTGGATATTTCTGGCCAGACTTACCAATTTAGCAAATTAGAGAAAGAGAAAAACACAGCATTCTTTCAAGTGATAAAGTACAAAGATAAATCATACCCTGTGGTATGCTAGCTTTATGGGCCTCATCTTCTTCCTAAGTCATTTCTCTCACATATACTAAGAAAAGCTTGCAACTCATGCTGTCCATTTACATGACAAATCAAATTTAATATTAACACGCTGGCATTAATCAAGATCTACCTCTTATAAATCACAGCAAGGTGATGTGATCGCTAGAAGAAACCAGCACCCAACGGTGTTAGTGTAAAGATACTACACAGATGAAATAAGATGAATCTCCAGTAATCTCTGCATATGAGTCTACTCTACATTTATGAATGTGTGCTCAGAGCATTCATCCTTCAGTTAGTTTTCTTTGTTGGAGGGGTTGAAAATTTCTTGGATAGTTCAATTTTGAACAACTAGGCTGTTGGATGTAGCTGGATCCCTCTGACCCAACTATTTTGTAGTAAATTCAGGTGTAGCACTTTTTTGAAGGGTTATTGATACTCTCCTCTTTTCCCTTACCTCCTATTTTGTGAGTGATAGCATGACAAAGACTACATACATTTGGTTCAATAGTTAATTAGAGAGAAGCTGAAGTTCCTCATAAGATTGTTTTGAAAAAGAGAGGCTTCTGTAGGAATAGAAACTTTAAAAAAACGTAGACCAGTTAATCTTTGTAAGAGGCAAGCTTGAACAAAAATATCACTACTTAGTTTCAGGAAAGTGCTTCAAGCACTCATCTGTCTTCAAAATAAAATAAAATAAAAATCCCAATGGAGAAAACAATATGGAAAAAAAAAAGAAGGAGAAAAGAAAATCAGCCCAAATGCTCTATTTCTGTATTTTTTCTCTAATATTCTTGGAACACTGTCACAACTGGGTGTTGTGTTTGTGTGTGTATGTGTGTGCAGTCTTCTTTCTGCCATTCTCCCATTATCACAATGTTCTTGAGTCTTTGAATTTAGAATTATTATTCAGAAAAATATTTAAGTCAGGGAAGGTTTGATTATCTACATTTTCACTTTTTTTGTGAAGTAAATACAGTGTGCTCAGTAGACACTAGCTAGGTTGAAACACTATTAAAAATGCAATGCAGACTGAGTCACTGCTTGTTATTTTTATAAGCGAGACCCTAATTCTGATGGACACCGAAGAATAAGCAGCCGTGACTAAGCAAGAAGCACAAGGCAACTGGATTCTGCCGGATGTTATCTCATTTGGAACACATTTCAAACTTTAGAACAGATTTTTAAATTGGAAGTTGAAACCTGCAGACTGTCAGCAGAAGAGGCTGATTCACCCTCCAGAAGTTATCTTACTCCAAGTTTCAGGCAGAGTATTTTAAGGAGTAGGTTACCTAAAATGTGTTATGATATATCAAAGAAAGAAATGAAGCAGAAAAAGCCTGGAGGAAGGGTGACACAGGTATCTAAACATCTTTTGGATGTTTAACATATATTTATATGAATGGGGAATTCTTTGAATTAGATGCCTTTCGTTCAGCACAACTTGTGAATGTTCTGAAACAGTAATTGCATTTTTTTCTGTAAATATTTCTTTTGTTGTGGGGGGCACTCTTTGTGTAGAACTTTTGGGGCTCTAAATATAATAATATTATTTTTGAGTAAATTAGAAGTAAGGAAGTAGAGTCTTGGAAAGGTCACAAATAAGAAAATCTTATATTGATGATGGTAAATATTAATTGGACATTGCTTTCATTTGGAACATCTATCAGTTACCAAAAGTCTAGACATCCAGAAAACCATAAAAAATATTTGTAAGTCCCTTAAATTAGAGGAAGTACAGAAATAATGGCAATAATAATTATATGACCTGTCACAAATATTAAGAGAGTGCTTAGAGAATACTAACTTATTTACAGAGAAAAAGTTGTTATACTCTTATTATCTTAGATAACGAAATCCATTCTGCAACTGAACTCCAGGGAGAAATGCATGGAGTGACCCACTAGAGGTCCCTTCCAACTAAAAAAAGTTTCAATAGTTCAAAGGATGCAGCCTTAGTAAGTTGGCATTCATGACTGCAAAGCAACTTTGGGGCCAGAAGGGGGGACCACACATTTCAATTCCTTAGAAAGGCTGTGATTTTACTCAGAATATTTGTCACATTTCATTCCCTTTTTAAAAAAAAAAAATCCCTATGTGGGACACTCACTCAATTAGTCCTAATTAAAATTTCAGAACTTATTGCAATTCATTGATACCATAACACAGTATGATATAATACCCTGTGACTGTAGCTGTGCTTTCTAGAAATTCTTTAGCTGTTTTCAAGTGTCTCAAGCAGTATTTTGCAAGATAAATTTTTTCTTTAAAAGAAGAGTGCCTCAGTAAGTTTTTCTTTGCAAAGCTGATGGAAGTGGTGGGTGGAAGAAGTAGGGTACAGGTTTTTTGATGGTAGGCAACTTGGTAGGAAATGATTATGTTTCCATATATTATCTTTGCAGAGTTAGCAGTACAAAATGTAAGTGCAATAAATTGGTGTAAAAGCCAGATAGTAAAGGGACTAAAAGTCCCTATGGAGATACCAACCTGTCACTTTCTTGTAATGGTAGCAAAAGATAATTGTAGACACAAATACAGTAGAACTAAATCGATGCCATTTTCCTTCAAAAATGGGCTGCTGCCTCTTAGTTTTTCTGAAGAAATTGGTTACTTTCTCTGCTTCAAAAGTATTGCATGAACCATTAAATTAGCTGGGAGAGATCTGCCTTTTATTTTCCTCCAGTACCTTTTTAATTAGAATATGCGAAAGAGCAAAAGGGGATGAGATACAGTCCTATGTGATTGCATTTTCCAGTCGATTGTTGAATTTCTTTTAAGTTTCTGAGCTTTGCATTGACAATCTGGCCTCTGGCATAAACTTTGCCCTCCTGGTTATGACATAATGAAGACATCTGCTCGATCATACCCCTTTCTTCCCACAGCTGGTTTTACAGTTCTCTAAAATAGCAAGCATAGAGCCATGCAAATACTATTTCACAAAGGGTGATGCTCAAGTCTCAAGTGAAACTGTAAGAGATTTTTTTTCCCCTCTCTCTCTCTTAAAGTAAAATCCTAAGGGTTTTCTTTTTCAGGTAAAGCTTTCAGCAAGAAAAGAAAGAAAATAAGCAACCCTTTGGCACTGTTCACATAAGCATATTTGTTAGTCCTTTTTGGAAGAGTTGTGCATTAACTAGGCATATCCCCGGGTTCCTTTTCCAACAGGGAGGAGTTTGCAACCCCCTGATAATTAACCACTCAGAAAGCCCATATTTTGGTCTGCACCCGTCCAGAGCAGCCATATATGTACACAAAAGCCACTCCTCAACATTCCTGCAGGGAAAATCTTTTCCTTCTTTCCCACTGTGTGCTTTGCAAAGTGAAAGTGAAGACTGGCAGAGACGCGGTCTGATACACCTCTATAGGGTGACTATCATAATTAAAAAAACATTTTTTTTTAAAGGAGAGTGGGAGAGAGAAACGTGTGGCTATTCCAGATGATTAAACTTCTTGGTTATTAAATGCTCCAAGTCACAGTTAACTCAGGTGTCCAGCCCCTTGCACGAACAGAGACCTGCATTTAACTCCCCATAAAATATGGATTTTATTGCAGCAGTGACAACACTTCTTAGCACCAGGCTGACCTCTCCAGCATCTCCCATCTCGTGACCTACGGTAACTCTTGGCAGAAGAATCTCTAACTACAGAAGAAGTAATCTCAGCTCTGCAACTGCTGCAGTCCACAACATTGCAGCGTCTCTCTTTATCAAATTCTGGGATTAACGCACTGGGGGCTCCAATTTCTCCGCATCTGGCACCTAAAACCAAGCGCACTCCAAGCACTCTCCAGTCAGCCCGGGGAAGGCTTTCTCCCCCAGATTTGAGGCTGGCCAGCCGTGAACAGCAGAAGCGAGCTGCGCCTTCCACATGACTTTTCCCTGGACAGTGTGCTCCATTTTCCCAGTCCAACGTTGGACTTTCCTTGCAACCTAAGCATTTCTGTCCTAGATGAGCGGGCAGGCGTTGCCCGGAACGTGCAAGCTAACACTTTTCTTTAGCTCCTTCTCCCAGCCAAATCGTCTCTTTAGTTTAAGTTTTCCTTATTGGGAGCATTGCAGAGTTTTCAGACTACCTGATTTTCTGCTTTCCCCCCAAAGCCAAGAAACGTAACCCAGCCCAAGCAGTCACCGCACAGACCCTTTTGATGCGGGCAGGTGGAGAGACATCCAGCCCCAAACGGCTCGGCGGGTCCTGCAGGCACCGGCGCCCTTGGTCATTGACCAGCCAACTTTGCAAATGCCGGAGCTCCCCTGGCAGCCCCTGCCGGCGCGGAGAGAGGCGGCGGGTTCTTCTCCGGCGCCCGCTTCCCGGTGCCCCCTCCCCGCCCCGCGGAGGATCGGGCTTACCAGGAGGCGGAGGAGCGGCGCCCAGGCTCCCCGGGAAGCGGCGTCGGTCCCGGGCAGCGGCAGCAGCGCCGCCAGCGAAGCCGGACCCGCGCGCCCGCCCCGACCCGGGCTCGCAGGCTGAGAGCATCCCTCCCAACTCCGCGCGCGGCACCCACCGGGCGGAGAGGGCTCTCTCTCTGATTGGCTTCCATCAACGCTACAGAATTAAAAAAAAAAAAAAAAAAAAAAGCAAGGGAGATGTAGGCACAGCCAGCGGAGCCCGAACCCACCTCTGTTCGCCTCCTGCGTCCGCGGAGACCCTGCGACCCGCCCAGCCTCCTCCTGCCTCCGCCGCCGCCGCCGCGGTCGCTGGCTTTGCAGTTCTCGCTGTCGCGGCCGAAACTGCAGCTCTCGGGATGCGAAGGTTACGGGCTCCGGAGAGCTGGCTCTTGTGGGCACACACTGATTTGCAAGTGAATGAAGTGGGAGGGAGCAAAGAGAGGAGGACTTTGTTAAAGAGGCCCGGAGCCTGCCCCCGCCCGCCCCCACCCCTTGACAGAATGACTCCCAGTGTTTGAAGTCCTGAGCAATTCGCTCCCTGGAACACTCCTCCAGCCCCAGGCTTTTCCTTCCTTTTTTCTTCTTTCTTTCTTTTTTTCTTGGGCGGGGGTTTAAGATATACTCAGAACTTGTATGACTCCGTCTGTTTCCTCTTTTATACTATCAAAATGCACCTTGTGCTGTTATCAGCAACGATCTGATGTTCTTTTTTCGCCGACCACAAGCAATTACAATTCCCAGGGACACAGTACCTCGTCACGCTATCAGTTGGCCAGCTTCGTGTGATAGCACGCATAACATGCACACACATAAAGCGAGCCGGTCTCCTGAGATGACAATACCGATGGCTTTTCTTTACAACATAAACAGGCGTTCTCCAGACGCAAGCAGACATGGATAGATTCATACGTGTCTTTCCTTCTCTCCTTCCAGGAAGACACGTTTTCACGTAGCCCCATGATCTCTCTGATTCTTTTGGAGTGACCCCAGGATGTCGTAGCACGAAGCCATGCTTCCCTGGGCTTGCAGAAACACTCAAAACCCAGACCCTCAGGTTTGCCAATGACTTATGGCTGATGCCATCGTTCTAAATGAACAGATACAAGCATACACACGACTTGCAGAAGAAGGGTGTATTCAGTGAATGATATTCAAGGTCTGCTTCACGTTTGACGATCCTTCTGGAAAGTTACCAAAGTAGGATAACCACCAAATTAAACTCTGCTACACAGAGCTGTGTGAATGGCTAGATTGATAGTTACAAAGAGGTAATATCTACTATTAAGGTACTAAGCCACAAAAATATGAAAACTGTCAAAGTATTATTAAATGAGACTAATGATTTTCTACGTAGGAGACACAAGCATGATGGGATCAGCCACTGTTGGATTAGGAAACTTAAATCTAATTACCACAGTGATTGCACGTAGGGTCGCTAGCCTCCCAAACTAGCTGTTGGCCTGCTCTGCAAGCTCTCAGGAAGATTTCCACTGCACAGAGATCTAAGAAGTGCCAGGCTGCTTGGCCTCTGAGTGGTTAAACTGGCTGGAGGTTGGTCCTGTTCCCAACTGAGCGCTTACTAGAAAACCTTTTGTTTCTCCAGTAGAAGTTCAGGCATTTAAATAAAGCCCAAATCAAAGTATTCCTCTAGGCAGCCAGTGCTTCAAAGAAATGTGCATGGAAAGGTTTTAGCACAGATGTTCCACACATGGGTGACGGAAAGACTTCAGTTTCTTTCTGGAAAAGACCTTCCCTGAATGAAGAATTGCTACCAATTTGCAAAAAAAGGCTGAACATTTTTTTTTCTACAACTCTTTAAACACCTATGAAGAATGGGGGAGAAGAAAGCTGCTTCAGATTCATAGTTCATTCTTCAGATTATGAAATTTCTTATATTGTTTAACTGGAAATATTAGCTCTGAGTGTCTGTGTAGTCCTTTTCTGCTTACAAAGTACTTTTGTAGACTATTTAATTCTTTCTTCAACAAGTGGTGTAATATTTTTTCTATTAAGACAGAGAAAACAGACTGATGAGGAGACAACAGGTTATATAACATGTCCAGGGCAGTGAAACTGGAACACACAAGAAGCAGAAATATTACTGGTAAAAGGGTGTACAGGTGTATATGCAGACATAGAGACCCACAGATTATATATACAGGTATAATTGATATACAGGTATAATTTATGAGCATATATGGTAGTAGGCTAATGCATGAATACATAATATATAAATAGGTCAATAAGTCATATTTTAAGACCACCTTTAGCAGAAAAAAATGTGCAAATTGGCTGATTTTTATAGTATAAGAGGGTTGATAGTGAAGTTGATTTTCTATCTGTTGAACCAGTTAATATCTCACAAAGGAAACCTCTAATTGTTTGCAATATACTATTCTTCAAACCCCATTAAGCTACATGTCAAAGGTGGTTAGAACAACAGCTTTGTGAGCGGACAATCTGTTTCCTTCTCAACAGTTCAGGTGGCAACATTAAATTATATAAAAGACAGCACTTGTACTAAAGGATTTTATGTGATTTTTGAGGCTTTCTAGTAACATTTGTCATAATAATCATTAATCTTCAAATACAGGATTGATGTAAATATTCAGAATTATTTTATTCTCATTTTGGAGACCAGGAACTGAGACTAACTGAGGTTAAATGATTACTTGGAGTTGTGTAAGTACTGTTTCTGGTTTGTTCTCTATCATCACGCCAAAACATGTTGGCAAGTAACAGTAGCCCATCAGAGACAGTTAAACAAATGAAGAGGTCTCTGTTATTATTGAATAGGGTTTCTCCTGAAAGTTAAGAGTGGAAATTCAGTAGAGTCTCTGGAAAGGCCCAGAAGCAGGCATGGGAAGCTGCCAGCATTCTACCCCTAGCTTGATCTCCTCCTCAGAGAACTTCTGCTTTCCTTTTGTCTCCCTTCACACCTGCCTCTTTCATCCTTCAGCCCACAGGGCAGAGTGGCACCCCAACAATTCCAGAGCTTACCTGTGGGAAAGAGGGGTTCTCTTTCAGCCCCCTTTCCAATTTCTTAGAAAATGGTCCTAAGGCCCAGCATGGTGGCTCACGTCTCTCTATAATCCCAACAGTTTGGAAGGCTGAGTTGGGAGGATCATTTGAGGTCAGGAGCTTAAGACCAGCCTGGCCAACATGGTGAAACTCCGACTCTACTAAAAATACAAAAAAATTTAGCTGGTTGTGGTGGTGCGTGCCAGCTACTCAGGAGGCTGAGGCAGGAGAATCACTTGAACCCAGGAGGCAGAGGTTGCAGTGAGCGGAGATTGTGCCACTACCTGTATACTCCAGCCTGGGTGTCAGTGAGGCTCAGTCTCAAAAAAAAAAAAAAAAAAAAAAAAGAAAAAAAAAAAAGAAAATGGCCTTGATTGGTCAGGTAGCATTGTCTTGTACCCATCAGCTGGGGCTGGCACCCTCAGGACCAAAGAGAGGGGGAGCATTTAAGGAATGTCCTTGTACACTGGAAAGACAATCCAAAAAGTGTCCTGTTCCCCATATCCTCTTGTTTTGTTCAGTAGTTTGGTACAGCGGAAGCGTCTCATCAGTTTTTCGGCTACCTCATTACTTTATATGCCTCAGTCAAAATCACTGGTACTTCTCTCCCTGCACAGCTTGCAAAGTTCCAATTTCTTTTTTTTTTTTTTTTTTTTTTTTTTTTTTTTTTTTTTTTAAATATCCTTTATAAACCATTACTAGGGATATTAATTTTGATGAAGGATTTTCCAACTTCCACTAAATATCTCTTCAGATGATTAAGAGGCTATCTTATCTTTATAATGGGGATGCATATACATAAATAATTACAAGTTTTCTGACTTTCTTTTAGATAATACACATCTGTATGCAACGATTATCTTATAAAAACATTTTCAAGATCATTAACAATTATTCTTGATTAGGATAAAAAATTTAGTTTTTAAACCATGAACTTAATTAAGAATCTTGGCATCGGCATTTCTGGTCAACGAATCCAAATCTTCGATCTAAAACTTAACCCTAAATGTGTTGCTGCTAGGAAAAGCCACATAGTGCAATTCTTATGGCTTGATCATCATGGAGTGCAAAAGCAAACAGATTTCAGTGAGGAATGAATGATCATCCCTCACTTCTGCTGTGCGTGCATGCACACACACACACTCACACACCCCGATAAACACACACACCCCGATGCACACACACACCCATACACATACTGTATTTAAGGAGGGAAAAAAGGCTTTAACCACTCTGGATATTATTGAATTGAAACAAAGGAGACAGGAAATCTCGATGGAATTCCCTTTTTGTAAGAGCCGTAGACATCTCAATACAAGCTAAAATAAATTCACACAAAGTTCATGTGCTTATCCAGGTTTTCTCATCCTGGGACAGCTTCCAGTACTATATTTAAGTGGGTTGGATCTCAGGATGCATTAAGACATTTCCCTCTTGATCATTATATTTGACTCATCACTAGGTAGATTGCAATAAGCCAGAAGATTTCCAAATGACCTAAATGCACAGCAGCAAAATGTTATTGACCTACACAGGGTATTTTAGTACTCTGGGTATTTCATAGTAGGTAGTGTAGACTTCAGTGTTGCTGAATTCTTTTTACCCTTTACTCACTGCTTTGTAGTAAAATATAAATTTGCCTGATCAGGTATGTACAACTCAAGTTTGGTAGACTGAAAATCAAGATTGTATTATGGCAATGAAAGGGCATGTCCTTGTTTAGAAGAAACAATTCATTAAGAGAAAAAGTGTTGCATTGGAACATTCTTCTAAATAAGTGGTATAGACCAGAATAAACAGAACATCTTATACTTTCCTCCAGAGGGAAAAATAATTCTCTCCCACCAACCCCCTTCCAATTATAGAAGCACTTGATGGGAAGAGTGACAGGTTGGAGTGGGAAAGACAATATAATAGCATGTGTTAAAAAATATTTTGGGATTTTATAGATTGTGAGAACATCAAAATTTTACAGTATATCATGGCTGTCAAAAAGAAGACAAAGATTAAGACGGGAAGGTAGAAAGAAGACCACCCTCTGTCTAGGTTTTAGTATTTCCTTCAGAATAGAGCAGACCTCACCTACAGCCTTCTGTTGCTCTTTGAACACTCCACTTAAATATACTTTTTTCCCCTTTTGCTGATGTCTTCACTGCATTTCACAGAATACCTATAGTACTGTGGCTTGACGTCATTGTTGACATGTTCCAGAGTGCATATCTATTGAATTATTGGTGACAGAGTCATTGTCTAGGGTGGTAGAAAAAGTGCTTTAGTGCTTGCATGTATGAATAAGAAGAGATTCAGATAAACTAGAATGGGTTCTGTAGACAGAAGCTGGAGATGGTTTATAGTCTTAAGATTTGCATATGAGCTAAAAGTGGCAAGACTGGAAAAGGGAATGTTTAAGTTGGTCATAGATACTCTGCAAATACTTTAGGAACTGTCCTATGGAAGAAAATTAGACTGGGTTTTAATGTGCCATAGACTTCAATTAGAATCAGCTGGTGAAATCACTGGACGATAAGTGCATTTAGTTGATTCTAAGACACCCATATTTTCGTAATTTAACCACTCTGAAATTTTGATGTCTGTTATGATTGACATAAGAAAACATCATGTCATGGTATAATTCTCAGTATCTCCTCTTTCTCAGCAACACATCAAAGAATGGTGCTACTTCTTACCATTGGTATTGCAGCCCTGATGACATGCAGATGGTCGATTTCAGCTCAACATGCAAAAGGATTTTCAAGACATTTGTGTTCAAGATGAAAGAGCCTGGCAGCTTTAGGATAGAGGTGAGCCCCATCCTTGAAGACATTCAATCACAATCTGGACAAGCACTTGTTGTAAATGAGCTTAAGTATGAGATTTGGAACTGAATGATCTTTTACATTTTTGTCAAACTTGAGGTTCTTCAGCTTGGATCCAACCTCTTATTTTTTGGCAGATGAGAAAACAAGAATCACACCAGTGGAGGGATTTTTTTCCGAAGCCAGACATCTCATTAGAGCTAGAGAGGCCAGACTAGCATGCCTCCCGTGATCCAGTCTGAAGCTACTTTTATTCACTGCTTATCTTTTCTTTCTCTTCAGGCTTAAAGTATAGAAAATGGGTTCCTTAATATTTTGGTAAGAACAGTAACTAACATTTACTGCATACATACAATGTGCTGAATACTTGTTCTCTGTGTATATTATTCGCATTTAATCCTCTGACAGGCTATGCAGTAGACACTGTTATCATTCTTGTGTTGTAGATAAGGAAACTGAGGAATGAGAGGTCAGGTAATTTGCTTAAGATCACGCAGTTAGTATGAGTCCGAGCTGAGGTTTAAACATACACTTTGAGGTGAATTCCTGTGCTCTTAACCATCACGCAGATGCCTCCTGATTGACAGAACTTTCTGTGGAGTCTATGTGCAGTGATGCAAAAATTAAAACCTGCTGTAGTCTGAAATTTCTAATTTTAAGATAAACATATTTTGGGTGTTACGTGACTGACTTCTTTATTATCTGCCTCAAAATATCTGGGTAACGGCTTCAGTTCCTTAATTTATGTTCAAACAAAATCTATACTTTTGTTTAATTTTTCGGCTAACAGAAGGCTTGCTAATAACGTAAGTAATTTTTCTTTTTTTCAAATCAGGACAATTCAGTTTTATCCTCTGCCACGTGTGTACCCTGCCTGCTTCCAATTTTTCCCTATTTGCGGGTACCTTAAAGTTGCGAAAAATGGAATTTAACTTATTTATCGACCTTTATGTCTTATTCATTGTGGCCCTTGGGCATCTGAAAAGATGCATTGACTCTCACTGGTCTTTTCTGTGGAGAGCTATCTTTGTACACTTCTCAACCCTCGGGGGCAGGCTTTATTCCTCAAAAAGGAATCCTTCACCAAGGATTCAGGCAGAATTCTTGGTCACAGCTGAGGTCTTATCTTTGCCCCTGGGAAACTGTACTTATTATCTCTCTGAGGAAAGGAAAGAAAACTGGAAATAAAGCTTCTCAGTGTCAATTGACACGAAAATTGTAAAATCTTAGGTAAGTCCATTTTGGGGGTACCTTTCTAGATGGCATAATATTCATAATATACAAAATCATTTTTCATATGCTGGGGGCTTGCTGAAAAATTGTGTGGTTTTGGCCAGGTCCTCATCTCTTGGCTTTAGTATCTTCTTCTGTAAAATGAAGACGTTGAATAGTTTTTTTACTCCAGTAGCTCTGAAAACCTTTTCTTTACCTGTTGTTATTTTGCATGTGGCCACTAGGGGGACAAAGGGAGGTTCTTTCCACTGAGACTGTTGCTTCCCATTACTGATTCTGAATTATAGTCTTGAAGAACAACCACAGGGAAAGCCGATTTTTCTTAATGAAGCATTGAATATTTTAAAATGCCTTTTTATTAATTGGTATTACAGTATGATATGAACTGGTACTTCTTTGTAAAATTTAAGAATTTGAGGAAAGCGATTATTACTGCTTCTATGACTAGTAAAGTCTTTATAAGCGTAATCACGTATCTCCATGAATATTACCATGTAGGAGATTTCACTAAGCCCATTAAAAAATCAGGGATATAAGTCTTCTTTGAAAAATATCACAGACCACGATGTCTTAAGAATGCAGATAAAGACATTTAAAGGATGTTTTGAAATATTTTAGTGGTTATCAAAATTTCTAATAAGTAATCTTTAAAAAAACTAAAGCAACACAAATGAAACATTTCTAATTGCAAAGTGGAAAAGGAACTCAATATTTTTTAAATCAAAAAGGTCCATAATACATTTTAGTAGCTAACCTTTATTGAACACTTACCGTGTGCCAGGCGATGTATTAAAAGTTTTTGTTTATATTCTGTTTTTCTTGACAGCTCTGTGAAGTAATCATTCTTTTCATGCTCATGAGTAAATGGAGATTTACAGAGCTTAATGACCATGCCTTCTCACACTGCTACTGCCCGCTGGTAGCAGAGTGGAGCTTTGAACTCTGGCACCCCACATCAGTGTGGCACATCACTGCCACATGTAATAGCCCGTGTTATACAGCACTTTCCAGATTATGAAATGCTTCATGGCCATTACTTCTCTCATGTTCACTCCAGTTCTCTTCAGTAGAAGGTGCATTTACATTGGCCATTATTTTTTCCAGGTAGGGCAGGCAAATGCAGTCTGGCTAAGAGTCTTAAACAAGAACCTACTATTTGAAGTTAGGCAGAATGGATTTAAAAACAAGAGATTTTTTTTAAAAAAATTGCTATATAATATTTGTACATATTTATGGGAAACATGATATTTTGTTACATGCAAAATGTGTAATGAGCAAGTCAGGGTGTTTGGGGTATCTATCACCTCCGTGTTTGTTATTTCTATGTGTTGGGAGCATTTCAAGTCCTCTCTTCTAGCTATGTTGAAATATATAATGTGTTGTCATTAACCATAGCCATGCTTCTGTGCTATTGAACATGATAAGTTATTCCTTCTATCTAACTGTATGTTTGTACCCAGTAACTAACCTCTCAACCCTTTTTTTTATCTCCTCTCTTGTCCACATCCTTCGCATCCTCTGGTAACTGTCATTCTACTCTTTACCTAATGAAATAAACTTTTTTTTTTAGCTCCCACATATGAGTGAAAAGAAATGATATTTGTCTTTCTGTGCATGGCTTATTTCACTTAACATAATGACCTCCAGTTCCATCTACGTTGCTGCAAATGAATTGATTTCATTTTTTTATAGTCAAATAGTATTCCGTAGTGTATATATGCCACATTTTCTTTATCTAGCCATCCGTTGATGGACACTTAAATTGGTTCCATATCTTTGCTATTGTGAATAGTGCTGGAATAAATATGCAAGTGCAGATATTCCTTTGACATACTGGTTTCTTTTCCTTTGGATTCATACCCAGTAGTGAAATTGTTGAATCTTATGGTAGCTCTAATTTCAGTTTTTTGAGGAATCTCCATTCTATTTTCCATGGTGTCTGTACTGATTCACATTCCCATCAGCAGTGTATAGGAGTTCCCTTTTCTCTACACTCTTACCATCCGTTTTTTGTCTTTTAAATAATAGCCATTCTAGCTGGGGTCAGAGGATATCTCACTGTGGTTTTGATTTGTATTTCCCTGATGATTAGTGATGTTGAGCGCTTTTCCATATAGCTGTTGGCCATTTGTATGTCTTCTTTAGAGAAATGTCTATTTGCATCCTGTGTCCATTTGAAATTATTATTATAATTTTTTGCTGTTGAGTTATTTTTGTTCCTTGTATATTCTAGATGTTAGTCCCTTGCTGGATGACTAATTTGCAAATATTTTCTCCCATTCAACAGGTTGTCTCTTCACTCTGTTGATTGTTTTCTTTGCTATTAGGAGTTTTTTAGTTAAATACGGTCCCTTTTGTTTGTTTTGTTTTTGTGGCCTGTGCTGTTGAGGTCTGAGCCATAAATTCTTTGCCTTGATCAATGTTCCGAAGTGTTTTCTCTGTTTTCTTCTGGTAGTTTTATAGCAGACACAAGAGTACTTCATCTTCAACTATTAGAAATAGAATCTGGGAATGAGATGAAAACTTCTAAATCCTGAACTCTTTGTTTTGAAAAGCTTATTCTTCTAGTTTACTTGTCTCTAACTTAAAAACAAGACCCTAAAATTCTCAGAAAACTTAGAACTTCATGTTTTTGAACAACAATAATCACTCGGTTTATTGAGTGCCTATTATGGGCCAGGAACTACACAAGCGGTGCTTTATAAGTTGTATTTTGATCCCTACAAAAACTTTCTAAAGTCATGCAACTCACTTTATTTATAATCTCACTTTATTGATGAGAAACATGTATCTCAGAGAGACTAAATAACATGCGTAAGTCACTGAGCTGGCGAGCGGTCAGAGCTGAACCCAAATCTTACGTGTGATTTGAACTCAGTGTACTTAATGAGGTTCAAGGTCTCATATTTGTTTCAAATGGTTGTGGTGACACTTTCTATTCTTAGATACGAATATGACCCAAGTTGCAGCTGATAAGGCAGGAAAGAAGCCTGTGGCTTTCTGTGGAGGTGAGAGATGATTATGTGCAATAGAAGAGGAGGGTAAGGTTTTTGCTAGTCTGCTGTTTATTTTGCAAAATATGATCATTCTTTTTTAGTGAAAAATAAGTGCAGAACTATCCTATTGAACACCAAATTGTGGCTGTTACCTTGGAGGGATTGGGTCTGAGCAGTGAATCGTGGTGCTTGGAGCCCAAACACTGTCTAGTGATATGATGATATCCAACTAGTTAATTAGTGTTTCTACCACCTGTAGTAAAGGGTGGTAGACTCTTCCTGTCTCTACTTGATCCTCACAGCTCATCCTTTCATCTCTTAAGATTCATTTTGCTTTTTGTTCATTGTAATATGATATTTACCTAAAATGGAAGAAGAAGGAAGCACAAAGCTTGCCTCTCCTCAGGTTCCTTCAGACCTTCGAGACGCCACAAGACAAGGGGAAAGACCTGATAGTTTTATATGACAGTTTGAAATTAAATGGATGATTCTTCTTCTAAGAGTTTTATTTTAAATAACTGATGGTACATATAATATTAGTTTAATACATCGCACAATGATATACATCTCTGCCTTGTCTTTTAGAAAAAAAAAATTGGAGAGATAGCATGGGAAGAAATGCCAGATATAGGTGAAGGGAAGGAAGGCAGCAAATCATGCTGCCATGTGTGTACCTATGCAACAATTTTTCATGTTCTTCACATGTACCCCCAAACCTAAAATGCAAAAAAAAAAAAAATCTCTGACAGTTTGTCAATGAGAGTTTTGGATAAGTGCATGCAAGTTATATGGCTCTGCTTAAAGATGGTGGTTTCATGTATTAGTTTTATTTGTACATTTATGTACAAATGCATGTAGACTCCACTTAAGTTTTATCAAAAAATATCATTTTAATCCTGAAAACAAGTAGATTCTCACAGTGTGACGTGTTCCATGTGTACATGCAGTTAGACCCTAATTCCATCACATGCATCCCCCATTCCTGCACTCAGGTTTTCCCATAAACTTCTACATGCGGAAAGGTTTGGTGGAACTTGAATTATCTGCATAAGTATTGCAAGATTACATTTCACTGTGATATCCTAGTTTGGTTTCTTCATTCCTTATTACCTCTTCTTCCCCCTTTCCACCCGCTGTTTGGAGCATCTAGGCTACCCAAAAAGAAAATGATTATGTGATTATGATACCAGAAAAGAGCAGTTACAGTGTGCCTTGCTAAATCATTTTTGAGCATGTATCTTACTCTGCTAGCATTCATATGGCCCATGATTACAAACATACAGAGTTCTTGAGGATTGATTAAATGTTAAAAATATAGCATCCTTTTGCATTTCTAAATGAAAATCATTAGAACAGGCTAGTAAAAATGGCAAGAGAGTACACACCCTATCGGATGAAACATTTAAATACAGATATTTCTGGTGCAAGTTTTTATGGTGTGAGAAATATTACTTAGTTCACACCTCCTTTGAATCCCTCTGCATGTTGCTGCCTCTGTGGCAGTATTTTTTATTTTATTTTTTTTAAACTAAAAAGTTACAGTGACTTCAGTGAGATTTTGTGTTAAGCTGAACTCCTCACAGCTTGATCCTCTTCTGACTTTGTAGTGAAAACCACTGTTGTTGAGTGGAATACAGGTTGCTAGTTTCTCTGCTGGACTTGGCATTGGACCCAAATGCCTCATGTTTATTTGCTGCTGCCCGATGACTGCCCAGCTGATGCATGGCTCTGAATATAGACTGGGGTATGAAAATATTTTGGGGTTCAATATCTAGGAACAGAATTTAATGACATGGATCTTCTCATAGAGCCGATTTCTGGGTTTGTGGTTTGCCCTCTTGGATTTGAGACTAATTCCAAGATGCTGATGGGTTTTAGAGGCTGGCCTCTTGGGAGGTGGCAGCTTGCCATGATGCCATCAGTTTAGACTAATGATTACGCAGGATTCTCATGAAGCAGATGGCTACTAACCACAATATTAATATTATTTTGCTTTGTAAATGTAAGGAAAAAATAATTTCCACACTTGCAAGGGAAACCTTGTTTGGATTTTATAAAGAATGATCTGCAACAGAAATAACATGCTGTCAGGACCTGTTTTATATGCTTTCATTATCAGTGACAAATTGTGATATTAATTCTATAGCAAATTTGTGCTGGGGATTTTAGCATTTCTTTCAGCCATTTCCCTCCTCTGCATAGCTAGCTGTAGAATAAAATGCTATGAATTTTACCTTGGAGGGATCAACAGCTGGATTTAAATGTTACTTCAGTAATTTGCTTAGAGATACTATTGTTTATAAATTTGAGGACTGGATATTCTTTGACAGGCTTTGGAATGAAGTGGATGTTTGAGGTAATTGCTTAGAGAATCCAGGTAGGAGAAACACTTCCACCTGGATTCCCTTAATAATGTAGCCAAAAAACAAGAGGCATTTATTTCTGTTTGAATTAGCCAGGTAATGACTTCTGTGCTCTGCCTTGTTTTGCTGACAACATTCTGGTTTATGCAGGTTGGGAGAGATGACAGTGACAGTCAGGTTCACGTTGATGGCATCCTGTGATCTGTGTAATTCAGCCTGGGGTACCAGTGATTATTTTGTTCTGATCAGCATTCTGGACCTTCTATGATGCTATTTTCAGGAGAACTCAAAACAATGGTAATTCAGGAATGCCTGATGTCACAGGATGAGGGAATTTGGCATGACTTTGCCTCCAGCATGAGAATTTTGAAATTTGGAACGTGAGGTTGGAATGGAATGCTTGGCAGCTGTGTGCATTCATTTTCCATTCCCCTCTCGGATCATCTTGAAGCCCAGCTCAGGCAATCGTGATTCATTTTCTGTAGTTCTCTTGAATAGACCAGATGTTTGGAAATGGGTTTTCACCTGTTTAGTTTTTTGACTTTCTTATTCTTGTGAAGCTCTTAAAATATAGTGTAAAAAATGGAGAACCCTATATTTTGGATTTATTCAACTAATAAGAGAGATGTAAAAATCACAAAATGCTAAGAAATGACTAACAAGAGAAGAAAATCACATGTTTTTCACAGAAAGGGCTAGAAGGAAGACTCAGTAAGGGATGATAGTCCCAGTCTGCTTAGAAGGTTCATTTTGAACTTTTGACAATTTAGTTCCAAATTCAAAAGCAGAAAAACAAAGATAGTATCCATGTGACTGTTTCTTAACAATCCATCCTTCATTATATTCAACATCTAGTTTTTGGCCACTTAGCAGTTTTGCAGCAATAAATTAGAAGGACAGGAGGTGACATAATGTGAGAAGGAAGTTTATTGACAGTGGAAGTGACAGGTGACCTTAAGTGGAAGGAGAACAATCACCACCACAAAGAAAAAAAAAAACAACAACCAGACACTGAGGGTATTGCTGCAGAAACACTATGATGAAGCCTCACAATGATGACTCTGAAACTCAAGAAAAGTTACTTTGTAGCCTGTTTCCCTTAGAATGCTACTAACACTTTTTTAAGAAGTTGAAGAACGAGTTGATGAAGTTTGGCAGCTGAGTAGCTGTGCTTCGATAGTTTGGTAATTCATTTACGTGGAATAGTTAGTTCCCAGTGATGCAGATGGTCAGGTAGCTTTGCAGGCAAGTTGCATCATATCAAATCAAACTGTGTTCTTCCCTGGGTAATAATGATTCAAGGAATAGCAGTGAAGGTCAAATATCTGATGTCATTCATATGGAGATTTATTTCTGTGGGCCTTGAAGACATTTTCGTTTTACAAACTGCCTGTTAAAATTAAAATGTCAATAGGTCAAATAACTATACGCTGGTAACCCATTGGTATTAAATTATTAGATTGTGATGGCAATGAGGTACTGTGAGAATTTGATGCAGAATGAGGACTCACTCATTTCTTGAGCTATGATGATCTCCATGCTTTGGATACTGAGGAAGATTTTAAAGACAAATTCATCCAGCTTGTTTCAGCTCTATAAATAGTTGCCCAACTTTCATTTTTACCTTCCCAGGGAATAGAAATCTAAGCTTGATGCACTGGGAACTCCCATCCATAGTGTGAGCTGTAGCTGATGCATTGGTTGGTCACTCTTTTTGACTCCATGACAAGCTTGCTGAGTTAATGATACTACAATTGCAAAACAAACCTTGCAATTAAACTGCATCTAGTTTTCTGCAAAGAGAACTCAGGGATGATTGACCATATTATGTAAGTCAGCCAGGGAAATAATAAAAATGTTCAATTCAAGCTAATACATACTTACATGGACAGCCATATTTTTGAGTGGTAATAACAAGAGAGAATAAGAGCTGGAGAGTACATTCGCAGTGAAGGAGATGATGTGGTTGTAGCTGGTGTGGACATCACGTGAAATATTGGTCAGGTGGCCCAGCTTGTGTGGAGAGAGCACTAATGGTAAACTCTACCAATCTCAGTTTCAAGTAGAAAAGCATTCTGTAGTAGGATTGCCTAGCTTTAGGGTAATCATCCATCCTAGTTTGTCTGAAATAGTTCTGGTATACTAGTTTTACTGATTTAATTATTAATTGTGCCCTATTTCACTGTCAAAAGTACTTGGGCTTTGATGATAAGTAATTATATGGTCACTCTACTTAATTCTGAATGAAACAGAAGCAAAAATATGAAGTCCATTTGGAGATGATCATTCACAGATAACCTCTCGCAGAGCCTCTTATTCCCTTACAAGTGAAATAATAAAAACACACCTGACAGTCATAAGTCTAGTTTTCTGCTTAGTAGAGAAGTGACATCAAAGCCTGCAGTAACTTCAACCTTCTCTCTCTACTCCCTTTATAGTTTACGGAGCCACCTACAACTCATGGTGGAATTGATAATAACAAGGCAAAGACTAACATTTCAGGTGAGAAATGTGGAGACAAATAATGCTACGCTTCTGAGTTTATATCTAACAGCGTATCATCCAGGAACAGGAAGGGAAAAGGTGAAGTCCAAAGATTCTGTCCAGAGAAATGTTAATGTCCCCACGCTGTCAGCCTGCTGTGTCTGGCCTGAGTGCTGTGCTCTACCCCAGAAGCCAAGCCTACCCCACATCACCAGCTGGAGAGGCTATGGGAATGAATTGTAGTGCATGGTACATTTTTTACACTCTTTATGAATGAGTCTGGAAAGCAGTTTCGGAATTTTTCAAAGTGACTTTTGGGAGTGATATTTATTATACCAGGGATAGATCTTTACAAACATGAAGAACTTGAAGGCCTGTCTCGACAGTCACACAGAGTATTTTTTATGGTGTTTTTGGTGTTGAAGATCCCTAGTTACTTTTATTTTCCCTCCCTTATGTAACATAGGTATTTTCTCACCACTAGGCTTTGGAATATTTGTGTATAGCTATCTTACACTTGGCAAAGACAATTAAGGAACTGTGCTTATCTAATTGCACTAAACCTTCATGTATTTTTGCATCTGCCTGGTATCTTTCTATATCTATTGCCTCTTTTTTTGTTCCTACTTTGAAAATACTCCTGAGAAAGGGTTAGAAGATTAAACAGGGGGTTCCACAGGATATAGTCTCAAGCCACTGGTGGAAGCATGGCAGGTATGCAGTGGGCACATGGCACATGTGGGGATATGGAAAGAAGGATTTAGGGTATGTATTAGTCTGTTTGCACACTGTTATAAAGAAATATCTGAGACTGGGCAATTTACAAAGAAAAGAGGTTTAATTGGCTCATGGTTCCACAGGCTGTATAGGAACCATGATGCTGGCATCTGCTCAGCTTCTGGGGAGACCTCAAAAAAATTCCCATCATGGTGGAAGCTGAAGGGGGAGCAGGCACATCTTACATGACTGGGGAAGGAACAAGAGAGAAAAGGGGGAAGTGATACCCATTTTTTCATTTTTTTTGTGACAGAGTTTTGCTCTTGTTGCCCAGGCTGGAGTGCAGTGGCGTGATCTCAACTCATTGCAACCTCCACCTCCTGGGTTCAAGTGATTCTGGTGCCTCAGCTTCCTGAGTGGCTGGGATTACAGGTGCTCACCACCACGCCCAGCTAACTTTTGTATTTTTAGTAGAGATGGGGGTTTCACCATGTTGACTAGGCTGGTCTTGAACTCCTGACCTCAGGTGATCTACCCCCACCTGCCAGCCTCTCAAAGTGCTGGGATTACAGGCATGAGCAATCATGCGCAGACAGTGCTACACACTTTTAAATGACCAGGCATCAAGAGAACTCACTATCATGAAGACAGTACCAAGAGGGATGGTGCTAAAACATTCATGAGAAATCCAACTTCACGATTCAGTCACCTTCCGCCATGCACCATCTCCAACACTGAGGATTACAACTGAACATGAGATTTGGTGGGGACACAGATCCAGATCATATGAGGATGAGAAGGTGGAATGAAGGGATGCAGTGCTCAGGTCCCACTGTGCCGTGTAGCAGGCATGCAGAGAACAGTGGGGCAGCTGTTAGGCCAGGGATTCCAGCAAGCAGGAGCAGAGGCCCTCAGCAAAGGTGATGTCGTGGCAGGGACCTCTGAAGTCTGATAAAGTGTAGGACAGTTGAGACTCTGGACTTAGCAGCCTCAGAGCCTGGATCTACACCCCAGCATCTCCCTTTAATAGTTGTGTGGCTTTCAGCAAGTTTCCTAATCTCTCTCTCTCTGCCTCAGTTTCTTCATCTTAAACTGGAGATAATTGCAGTATACATCCAATAGGGTTGGTGTGAGGCTTGTATGTATTTTTGTAAAGAGCTCAGAATATTTGCAGGCACATTATGAGCACTGAGTAAATGTTAGGTCTATAAAAACACCCTGACTGTTGGTTTTTGGCATGATCCTCTCCCTACAGCTGTGTGTAATGTAACACAACATTGCTGAGCCAGGAAGGACTTAGCTAACAGGACCAGCAGCAACACAGCCATAGGATACCAGCAGGATTTCTCCACAGCACAGCATGGATTCTCAAATGACTGGCTTGATTTCCCAATTCCCCTCTGGGACAAAGAAGACAAAAAATGCTGAATGCATACCATATCAAATGGAACAATTATGACCATCGGGGAATATCAATTGGCCTTAAACCAATATTCTCCTCTTGATGATAAGTGCTGGAAAACCTGAAAATCCTTCATCTCTTTTTGCCCATTCCCACACTGTAACTGGGTATGTAGAGCTGGTGTTTATCCTGTATTACTTCCTTGATAGTTGAAGATACATCATGCCTTACAATTGGGGTGATCAAAAATCCCATTTGGTTATCTTGAATTTCAAACATCTTGAACATTGATTATTCAAGTATACCAGACTCTCCTAGTTTCTAATATCAATACACAATAAACCAGCTTTTATTGAGTATATCCAGGACTGTGCGGGGGATAATGGACCTACAAGACATGGTTGTAGCCTCCTGGGAGCTTGTGATCTAGTTGAGAAATCAAGTACTAGTGTGCTTTTGAGTACTGAACTGCTAGATGCTATTACCATTACAGTCTATGGAAATGAAACCAAAAGCAGTGTCTCCCAATTCATTCTTCATTTGTGTTCTGATGGTGCACTTTCCTTTCCTACTTGTCTTGATTTACCATCTTAGTAACCCAACAGCTAATGTAGTGCTCCGGGTTGTCTGTGGCAAGTTACTAATAAACGTTTGTTAAATTAATTCCTGTCCTGCTGATTATTGACTGAACATAGGAAGATCTTGTTTTCTATGAGTTTTTGTGATTTATTCTGCTCTTGAATATCATTTTTGTACCTGAAATTTTTCCTTAAACTTGATTGTTGTCACCTCGATTTCACCGTGATTTTTTAAAACCTCTTGGTTTAAAAAAACTTGAGATCATCTATGTAAGGTGCCTAATCCAGGGCTTAGGGCATACAAAGTGATCAATGAAAATAAATTCAACCATTTAATATGTTTTTGCTCTTCTGCTAGGCACTTCCACTTCATTCTTTTCAATTGCGTGTCAATATTCAAGTCCATTTCCATTTTATGCATTTATTCTTAAATTATGGAAGATGAAAACTAAAGTGGGAAAGCATCAAGAAGAGGGTCATCTCTCTCTCCTGGGACAGAAACATGAGCTCAAGTTATATATTCTGTGGAGAGAAAGCAAGAGTAAAAACAATAAACGTCCTGAATATACTTACCATTAAGCAAGTAAAATTATTCTCCTCTTCTCACAGCTTTGTATTTGAGGCTCTGTATTTTATTTATAGCATAAATTCTTTGCTCTTTTTCAGTAGGTGCTGCTTCTTGTACTGAGCAATGGTTACTAGCGTCTATTTTTCACGCCCCACGTAATGTGCTCCTATACGCAACTGAAACTTTCAGTTCACTTGCTCATGCTTTTCACAGTGGCAACATGGAGCAGTATTTTAAAACCTTGCAAACCTCGGGTTCATCCTGGTATTGTTTATTCACATAGTCCTTACAAAATACTCCTCCTGCAAAAAGTAACTTTCATTTCTTTCTTTGAGCTTAGTTTGATAAAAATACAGCATGGCTCAGTTGGAGTTTGTGATTTTTTCTAATTTCAAATTAGGGTTTTCTTGTCACTGACAGGATCCCCCCCAACCTTGGAAGATGAATTGCATTTTATCATTTATCTCAGAGGAGTCCTTTGAAATGAAGCAAGGAAGTGGCTCTACATTTTTAAATAGATGATTTGTTACAGGACTATGACCATAATGGAAAACATGCCGACTCCCTTGAGGTTTCTGATTCCAAGCCATGACTGCACATTGAATTTCATCAGAGTTCGCCTGGCTGGTGGGGATTGGGGACCATCTTCCTTCTCCATCATGGATGTTACCATTTTGATTCTGAGTGTTAAAGAAGAGACTTCAAAAACAGGATCTCTTGGTGCATTTACATGGTTTCTTGGCATGGTATGTTGACATCTGATACACAGACCCTTTGTCCATTTCCATTACAGCATCCACTAGGGAGACCAGAAAACTACTGGTTGTGATTTCATTTAGTGCTTGTTCCAAGTGAAGCAATCTCTTTTGATTTGCCCATAAAATTAATTCAGTTTAAATATATAATTAATCCGGGAAAGTGATGGAGATAAGCATATTTACTCTCAACTTGAGAATTTGCTGTTCATTCAAGATTAACTCTGGTTGTGCAAAGACACAACATTGTTCTTTTCTTTAACCTAGAAGACTAGTTTATCTTCATTTGTGTTGGGTGACAAAAAACCTCAGTGTTCAAGATGCCGAAACGCTGGTTATTCTTCAGGAATGGCTCAGAAAACTTATCCCATTCAGACCTCATATTTAATTTATAAGGCATAGCCAGTATCCAAACTATGGCCTTTGCCAGCCCCACACAGCATCTGAAACTCTTCAGGCTTCTATTATTTCATACAACCACCATCTCTTATTGTCTACTCTAGGTGGACAATTAACCAATTCACTAAACTTGTATCTAGGTCTGAAGAAGAGAAAAAAGACCAGTTATGAAAGGTTTTGTAACTTAGACTTTTGGATACTACAAACCTCTGTCTTTTGTAAGACACTCTTGGTATACTTTTAAACCTTAGGTCCTTTGTTTCCTATGCTCTACAGTATTTATGTGAAGCAAGCAGTGTATGAGCCAAGAGAAACTGAGATAGAAGAGAAATAAGAACTATCTGTGACTTAAGCATTTTAACTGCAAGTAGTAAATAATGATGCATTCAGTAAGACATATTAGAATGAAGAGGCAGGAGATATAAAAAAATCTTCTGTATAATTATATTCCTTCTGTATAACTTTCCCCCCATATCCAATACATACACTTGTATTTAGAAGACAACTTATAAATCATCTTGGGGGCTACTGCATTTAATGCAATGTCTGTGTGGGTGACCAGTTGGCAAGGCAGTGATCGATGGACTCACAAAACTAGGTCCGGTGGTTCAAATGTAGTTCAGCTTGGCGGTGACTAAAAGTCTTTATGATCCAGCGATTGTTCAGCGACCTGGATGAAATGAATTGGTCTCTTTCCTAGTGAATAGCTGTCCATGTCACAAGACTAGAATGTAACTGGTACTAATTGTCTCCCTGGTTGATAGTCTCAGCAACAGGGTTAAAGGGGTCATAAGGAAAGGTGACAAAATGCTCTTTCTTTTCACACCATTGCTCATGTATTGAGCTCATTGCACCAGGTCACCCTATTCACTGGGCAGAGAGGAGGAAACTATTCATT